AGGTAGACAAGAGGTAGAGAACAGGAGGTAGATAACAAGTAGAGAACAGGAGGCAGATAACAGAGAGATAACAACAGGAGGTAGATAACAGCAGAAGATAATAATGGAAATATAAACATATATGCAGTATAATGTGTCCTTTATTGACAACGTTTCGCCCACACAGTGATCTTTTTCAAGTCACAAACAGATCTACCTGGGGTGGAAGGACCGCGAGTATTTATAGTCAGGTTCAGAATGTCGAGGTCAGGTGGAGAATGCTGCATCTGATGATGTACCGAGTGGGGTTATAGTCTAAAATCTTGGGTAGCTTGGAAGGGAGATTGGATAAGTTTGTGAGCAGACCTTCTGCGGTGTTCTTCCATTCCTGTGTTCTTATGTGGGATAGCGATGAAGAAGTTTCTTGGCAAGTGGTTCAGCTATGTTATAGAAGCCATTATTCTGGCTGAAGTTGTTGGATATAGAAATAAGCGATGATTCCAGGATTCTTCGGTATTGAGTGTTGTCTTCTGTGGCGATAAGTCTTAGAGTTTCTGTAGTTTATCAAGTGGTTGTGTGAATTACGGTGTTGTACACAGGCATTCCTTGTATCGTCAGACCTGCTTGCGTATTGGTGTTCTGAAATACGTGTTTGGAGGTCCCTTGATGTTTTGCCCACGTATAATTTGCTGCAGTCATTACAAGGGATTATGTATACCCGTGCAGAGGGTGGAAGCTTGTCCAGTCTATTACTGGTAATGTCCTTGATGGTCGTGGTTGTGGAGGTAGATACTTGGAATGAGGTACTGGAAAAGATGTTGGAAACGTGTTTGGCAATGGAGTTGGTGATGTGGACTATGTATCTCTTCTCGGCAGTGTCTTCTCTAGGTGTGTTGAAGATGATTAATGCCCGTCGTCTGCAGTCTCTGATGAAGTGACGAGGATAGTGGAGTTTAGAAAATACTTGTTCAATTATAGTGCATTCTTCCTCAAGAAACTCATTGCTGCAGATTCTGAGTGCACGCAGGAAGAAGCCTATAATTACACCACGTTTAGTTTTGGTGTCGTGGTGAGAGTAGAAGTGGAGAAGATCGTTTTGGTTGGTGGGTTTTCGATAAACGATCTTCTCCACTTCTACTCTCACCAACTACTACCCCACTTCTACCCCACCAACTCCATTGCCAAACACGTTTCCAAAATCTTTTCCAATATCTCATTCCAAGTATCTACCTCCACAACCACGACCATCAAGGACATTACCAGTAATAGACTGGACAAGCTTCCACCCTCTGCACGGGTATACATAATCCCTTGTAATGACTGCAGCAAATTATACGTGGGCAAAACATCAAGGGACCTCCAAACACGTATTTCAGAACACCAATACGCAAGCAGGTCTGACGATACAAGGAATGCCTGTGTACAACACCGTAATTCACACAACCACTTGATAAACTACAGAAACTCAAGACTTATCGCCACAGAAGACAACACTCAATACCGAAGAATCCTGGAATCATCGCTTATTTCTATATCCAACAACTTTAACCAGAATAGTGGCTTCTATAACATAGCTGAACCACTTGCCAAGAACCTTCTTCATCGCTATCCCACATAAGAACATAGGAATGGAAGAACACTGCGAAGGTCTGCTCACAAACTTATCCAATCTCCCTTCCAAGCTACCCAAGATTTTAGACTATAACCCCACCCGGTACATCATCAGATGCAGCATTCTCCACCTGACCTCAACATTCTGAACCTGACTATAAATACTCCCGTACCTTCCACCCCAGGTAGATCTGTTTGTGACTTGAAAAAGCCCACTGTGTGGGCGAAACGTTGTCAAAAAAGGATCACATTATACTGCATATATGTTTATATTTAGATTATGTCGGTATTTTATATCATTTATCTCCATCCAGGAAGATAATAAGTAAAGAACAAGAGGTAGGTAGCAGGTAGAGAACAACACGGGGTAGATAACAAGGAGAGAATAACAGGAGATAGATAACAACAACAGTAGAAAAAGGGAGAACAACGGGTAATAACAGGTAAAGAAAACAAAAGGTGGGTTTTAGAGAGAAAAACAAGGTAGAAACAGGTAGAAATTTTAGTAGAGAAAACAACGGGAAAATAGAAAACAGGTAGATAAAAAGTAGAAAACAACAAGGGGAGGTGTAAAATACAAAAACCCAAATACAGGAGTGGGTCAAAAAGAGATAGAGAGATTAGATGCAGATAGAGAAGCAAGCGAGAGGAGAGAGAGGAGAGGATGCATTAAACATAACCTCCCCTTTCCCACCGCACCCCCCCACAGACAAAGAGAGAGAGAGAGAGGGGAAAAGGGGGAAGAAAAGGGGGGAGGGGGAAAGGGGGAGGGGAGAGAGAGAAGAGGAGAGAGAGAGGGGAAAGAGAGAGGAGAGAGACAGGAAGAAGAGAGAGAGAGAGAAGAGAGAGAGGGGGGTACTCAAAAACTAACCCCACTGACACCGTCACCCTCCACACACAAGAGAGGGGGAGGGGAGAAAAGAGAGAAAAGAGAGAGAGAGGAGAGGAAAAGGAGAGAGAGAAGGGGGGAGGGGAGAAGAGGGAGAGAGAGGGGAGGAGAAGGGGAGAGAGAGAGAGAGAGACGAGAAGAGAGAGAGACGAGGGGAGAGAGAGAGAAAAGGAAGGAGGGGGGAGACGAGAGACAGGAACATTATAACTAACCTAAAACCTGCCCAAACCGCCCCCCCAAAACCAACAAAGAGAGAGAGAGAGAGAGAGGAAGAGAGAGAGAAGAGGAGAGAGAGAGAGAAGAGGGAAGAGAGAGAGAGACAGGAGAGAGAGAGAGAGTACATCTTTACATAACCTCACCTGACCACCGTCACCCTCCACACACACAAAGGAGAGAGGAGAGAGAGAGAGAGACAGAGAGAGAGAGAGAGAGAAAAGAGAGGAGAGAGAGAGAGAGAGAGAGAGGAGGACAGAGGGGAAGAGTACATTATAACATAACCTCACCTGAACCACCGTCCCCCCAAACACAGAGAGAGAGAGAGAAGAGAAGAGAGAGCCCAGAGAGAAAAAGAGAGAGAGAGGGGAAGAAGAGAGAGACAGAGAGACAGAGTACATTATAAAAAACCCTCACTGACCACCGCACCCTCCACACACAAGAGAGAGAGAGAGAAAGAGAGTGGAGAGACAGAGAGAGAGAGAGAGAGGAGAGGGGAAGAGGACAGAGAGACAGAGTACTTAACTAACCCACTACCACCGTCACCCTCCACACCCCACAGAGAGAGAGAGAGAGAGAGACGAGAGAGAGAGGAGAGAGAGAGAGAGAGAGAGAGAGAGAGAGGGGACAGAGAGACAGAGTACATTTAACATAACCTCACCTGACCACCGCACCCTCCACACACACAGAGGAGAGAGAGAGAAAAGAGAGAGAAAGAGGAAGAAAAGAGAGAGAGAGAGACAGAGAGAGAAAAGAGAACAGAACATCAAACATAACCCCCACTGACCACCGTCACCCTCCACACACAGAGAGAGAAGAGAGAGAGAGAGAGAAAACAGAGAGAGAGAGGAGAGAGAGAGACAAGAGAACAGAGTACATTATAACATAACCTCACCTGACCACCGTCACCCTCCACACACACAGAGAGAGAGAAGGAGAAGGGGAGAGAAAGAAAAAAGGGAGATGAGAGAGAGAGAGAGAGAGACAGAGAGAGAGAGAGAGAGAGACAGAGAACATCATAACATAACCTCACCTGACCACCGTCACCCTCCACACACACAGAGAGAGAGAGAGAGAGAGAGAGAGAGCAGGAGAGAAGAGAGACGAGAGAGAGAAGCAGAAGAAGAGAGGAGACAGAGAACTCATAACATAACCTCACCTGACCCCCGTCACCCCCCCACACACACAAGGGGAGGAGAGAGAGAGAGAGAGACGGAAAGAGAGAGAGAGAGAGTGAAGAGAGACAAAAGAGACAGAGTACATTATAACAAACCTCATGACCACGTACCCCCAACACACAGAGAGAGAAGAGGAAAAGAGAGAGAGAGAAGAGGGGAGAGAGAGAGAGAGAGGGAGACAGGGAGACAGAGTACATTATAACATAACCTCACCTGACCACCGTCACCCTCCACACACACAGAGAGAGAGAGAGAGAGAGAGAGAGAGACAGAGAGAGAGAGAGAGAGAGAGAGAGAGAGACAGAGAGACAGAGTAATTATAACATAACCCACCTGACACGTCACCTCACAACCAGAGAGAGGAGAGAGAAGACGGAGAGAGAGGGGAGAGAGAGAGAGAACATTATAACATAACCTCACCTGACCACCTCACCTCCACACAAGAGGGGAGAGAGAGAGAGAGAGAGAGAGAGAGAGAGAGAGAGAGAGAGAGAGAGAGAGAGAGACAGAGAGACAGAGTACATTATAACATAACCTCACCTGACCACCGTCACCCTCCACACACACAGAGAGAGAGAGAGAGAGAGAGAGAGAGACAGAGAGAGAGAGAGACAGAGAGACAGAGACATTATAACATAACCTCACTGACACGTCACCCTCCACACACACAGAGAGAGAGGAGAGAGACGGGAAAAAGAGAGGGGAGAGAGAGAGAGAGAACATTATAACATAACTCACCTGACCACGCACCTCCACACACAACACAGAGAGAGAGAGAGGAGAGGATGAGAGAGAGAGAGAGAGAGAGAGAGAGGGGAGAACATCATAACATAACCTAAACCTGACCACCGTCACCCTCCACACCCCACACCAGAGAGAGAGAGAGAGAGAAGAGAGCAGAGAGAGAGACAGAGAGAGAGAGTACATTTTAAAACATAACCTCACCTGACCACCGTCACCCCCCACAGACCCCACAGAGACGAGAGAAAAGAAGGGGGAGAGAGACAGAGAGAGAGAGTACATATAACATAACCTCACCTGACCACCGTCACCCTCCACACACACAGAGAGAGAGAGAGAGAGAGAGAGAGAGAGACAGAGAGAGAGAGTACATTATAACATAACCTCACCTGACCACCGTCACCCTCCACAGACACCAGGTCCCTCCACTCTTCAATAGTCTGCGCCAGGTCCACCTGACACAGCGGGATCTTCACCTCGCCGATCTGGTCGTGCTTGGAGAACCGATCGAAGTCGTAGATCCCGAAGACCAGAGTCTTAGACATGATGTCGGCGTAGGGGACCTGCTAGTGTAGGCAGGAAGAAAACGCCCAGGTTACATGCTGCCCCACTCGTATGGGTTTAGCGTCTCGCTTGCGTAAAAAAAGTTATATATGTAGTTTAGGTCTGACATAAAAAAATATGTCTTATATAGTGTCTAGTGGTAGTGTCATTATGATTATTCTTATTCTGAATATATTATTATTATTATTATTACAGTCAGTATTATTTTCAATATATAATAATCATATTATTATTATGGTCGTTATTGTTATTTCTAATATATTATTAGTACTACGATCGTTATTATTTTCTGATTATGTTATGTATATAAATTACAGTCATTATTATTTTTAAATATTTATATTATTATTATTATTAATAATATTATTATTATTATTATTATTATTATTACTATTATTATTATTACCCACTTCGTCTCACCGAGGAAAGGTGACAGAAAAAAGAATCAGTCGCCATTATTCATTCAACAACTGTATTGTCAGAAGTGTGTTGACCACACTTCCAACTGTAAACATCCTCACCCATCCTCAGAGTACAGATACTGTACTTCCCACCTCCATACTGTAACATCTCACTCCATCCTTCAGAGTGCAGTACTGTACATTCCCACCTCCAGGACTGTAACATCCTCACCATCCTTCAGATTGCCGGTACTGTAACCCCCACCTCCACGACTGTAAACATCCCACTTTACTTCAGATGCAGGTACTGTACTTTCCCACATCCAGGACTGAAGACAACCTCACCCATCCTTCAGAGTGCAGTACTGTACTTCCCACCTCCAGGACTGTAACATCCTCACCCATCCTTCAGATAGCGGTACGTGTACTTCCCACCACCAGTACTGTAACATCCTCACCCATCCTTCAGAGTGCAGTACTGTACATCCCACATCCAGGACTTAAACGTTCTCACCATCCATCAGAGTACAGGTACTGTACTTCCCACCCCAGGACTTGTAACATCCTCACCCAACCTTCAGAGTACAGGTACGGTACTTTCCCCCTCCATGACTGTAAACATCCTCACCCATCCTACAGAGTACAGGTACTGTACTCCCACCTCCAGGACTAACATCCATCACCCATCATTCAGAGTAAAGTACTTGTACTTCCCACCTCCAGGATGTAACATCCTCACCCATCCTATCAGAGTGCAGGTACTGTACTTCCCACCTCCAGGACTGTAACATCCTCACCCGTCCTTCTGAGATATAGGTACCGTACTTCCCACCTCCAGGACTGTAACAACCTCAACTCCATCCTTCAGAGTCGTCCGTACTTTCCCCACCCTCAGGACTGTAACATCTCACACATCCTTTCAGGGTACAGGTACCGTACTTCCCACCTCCAGGACTTAACATCCTCACCCATCCTTCAAGTGCAGTACCGTAACTTCCCACCTCCATACTGTAACATCCTCACGCATCACTTCTGAGTACAGGTACCGTAACTTCCACCTCCAGTACTGTAACACCTCACCCATCCTTCCAGAGTGCAGGTACTGTACTTCCCACCTCCAGTACTGTAACATCCTCACCCATCCTTCAGAGTGCAGGTACTGTACTCCCACATCCAGGACTGTAACATCTCACCCAACCTTCAGAGTAAACAGTACTGTACTTTCCCACCTCCAGGACTGAAACTCCTCACATCAATCCTTCAAAGTGCAGGTACTGTACTTCCCATCCTCCAGGCTGTAACATCCCTCACCCCATCTTCGATACAGTACCGTACTTCCCACCTCCAGGACTGAACATCCCGACCCATCCGTCAGAGTGCAGGTACTGTACTTCCCACCTCCAGGACTTAAAATCCTCACCATCCTTCAAGTGCAGGTACTGTACTTCCCACCTCCAGGACGTAACATCCTCACCCATCCTGTCGAAGACAGGTTACCGTACTTCCACCTCCAGGACTGTAACATCCTCACCCATCCTTTCAGAGTGCAGGAACTGGACTTCCCCCCTCCAGGACTGTAACATCCGCACCCATCCTTTCGAGTACATGTACGTTCTCCCACCTCCAGGACTGTAACATCCACACTCATCCTTCAAGTGCAGGTACTAGTATACTTCCCACCTCCCGGACTGTTAACAACTCACCCATCCCTTCAGAGTGCAGGTAACTGGTACTTCCCCACCTCCAGGAATGTAACATCCTCACTCATCCTTCAAGAGACAGTACTCGTACTTCCACCTCCCCAGGAATGGTAACATCCTCCACTTCCCCCATCATCAGAGTGCAGGTTACTGTACTTCCCACCTCCAGGAACTGTAACATCCTTCTACACCATCCTTCAGAGTACAGTATTTACTTCCCACCCTCCAGTACTGTAACATCCTCACCCATCCTTCAGAGTGCAGGTACCGTACATCCCCACCTCCAGACTGTACCATCCTCACCCATCCTTCAAGTGCAGGTCGACTGTACTTCCCACATCCAGTACTGTAACTCTCACCATCCCTTCAGAGTACAGGTTACTGTACTTTCCCCACTCCAGGAACTTAAACATCCTCACTCATCCTTCAGAGTGCATGTACTGTACTTCCACCTCCAGGACTGTAACATCCTCACCCATCCTTCAAGTGCAGGTACTGTACTTCCCACCTCCGGACCTGTAACATCCTCACCCAATCCTTCAGAGTGCAGGTACTGTACTACCCACCACCAGGACTGTAACATCCTCACTTTATCCATCAGAGTGCAGTACTGTACTTCCCACCTCCAGGAACCTGTAACAACCTCAACCCAGCTTTCAGAGTACCGTACTGTAACTTCCCAACTCCAGGACTGTAACATCCTCACCCATCCTTCAGAGTGCAGGTACTTTACGTCCCACCTCCAGGACTGTAACATCCTCACTTATCCTTCCAAGAGGCATGTACTGTACTTCCCACATCCAGGACTGTAACATCCTCACCACCTTCAGAGTGCAGTTACTGTACTTTCCCACATCCATATGTAGCCCATAACACCAATCAACATCCTCACCCATCCTTCAGAGTGCAAAGGTACAGTACTTCCAACCCCAGGACTGTAACATCTCTCACCCATCCTTCAGAGTACAGGTAATTGTACTTCCCACCTCCAGACTGTAACATCCTCCACCCATCCTTCAGAGTATCAGGTACTGTACTTCCCACCTCAGACTGTAACATCTCCCCCCATCCTTCAGAGTACAGTACTGTACTTCCACCTCCAGACTAACACCTCACCCATCCTTCAGAGTACAGGTACTGTACTTCCCACCTCCAGACTGTAACATCCTCCACTCCATCCTTCAGAGTGCAAGTACTGTACTTCCCACCTCCAGGACTGTAACATCCTCACCCATCCTTCTGAGTACAGTACCGTACACCCACCTCCAGGACTGTAACATCCTCACCCATCCTTCAGAGTGCAGTACTGTACTTCCCACCTCCCAGACAGTAACATACCTCACCCATCCTTCAGAGATACAGGTACTGTACTTCCCCACCTCCAGACGTAACATCGCTCACTCATCCTTCAGAGTGCAGGTACGGTAATTCCCGCCTCCAGGACTGTAACATCCTCCACCCAATTCTTCAGAGTGCAATACTGTACTTCCACCTCCAACTGTAAACATCCCTCACCCATCCTTCAGAGTGCAGGTAACGTAACTTCCACCTCCCAGAAAAAAAAGACTGTAACATCCCACCCATCCTTCAGAGTGCAGGTACTGTACTTCCCACCTCCAGGATGAACATCCTCACCCCATCCTTCAGAGGCAGTACTGTACTTCCCACCTCACGACAGAACATTCTCACCCATCCTTCAGAGAACAGGTACGTACTTCCCCACCTCCAGGACTGTAACAACCTCACTCATCCTTCAGATGCAGGTACTGTACTTTTCCCACCTCCATACTGTAACATCTCACCCATCCTTCAGAAGTGCATACTGTAACTCCAACCTCCAGGACTGTAACATCCTCACTTATCCTTCAGAGTGCAGTACTGTACTTCCCACCTCCAGGTCTGTAACAACCTCACCCATCCTACGAGTACAGTACTGGTAATTCCCACTCCAGGACTGTAACTCCTCACCCATCCTTCAGAGTGCAGGTCCTGAACTTCCCACCTCCCAGGACTGTAACATCCTCACTATCCTTCAGAGTGCAGGTACTAGTACTTCCCCATCCAGGACTGTAACATCCTCACCCATCCTTCAAGGGCAGGTACTGTACTCCCACATCCAGACTGTAACATCCTCACCCAATCCTTCAGAGTGCAGTACTGTACTTCCCACCTCCAGTGACGTAACATCCTCACCCATCCTTCAGAGTACAGGTATTTGTACTTTCCCACCTCCAGGACGTAACATCCTCATCCCATCCTTCAGAGTACAGTATTGTACATCCCACCTCTCAGGAATGTAACATCCTCACCCAACCTCAGAGTACAGTATTGTAAACTTCCCCACCTCCAGATTGTAACATCCCTCACCCATCCTTTCAGGTACAGGTATTGTACTTCCCACCTCCAGGAACTGTAACATCCTCCACCCATCCTTTCAGAGTACAGGGATTGTACATCCTACCTCACAGACTGTAACATCCTCACTCATCCTCAGAGTACAGGATTGTAACTTCCCACCCTCCATGAAACTGTAACAACCTCACCCATCCTTCAGAGAGTCAGGTATTGTACTTCCCCCCTCCAGGACTGTAACATCCTACCCATCCTTCGCACTTACCGTATTGTTTTTACTTCCCACCACCAGGACTGTAACACCTCACCCATCTTTCTGAGTGCAGGTACTGTACGTCCCACTCCGAGGACTGTAACATCCTCACCCAATCCTTCAGAGTACAGGTACTGACTTCCCACCTCCAGGACTGTAACATCCTCACCCATCCATCAGAGTACAGGTATTGTACTTCCCACCTCCAGGACTGTAACATCCTCACCCATCCTTCAGAGTACAGGTATTGTACTTCCCACCTCCAGGACTGTAACATCCTCACCCATCCTTCAGAG